GATTCCTGAATAGAAATACCTTCCTCCACGTGATGACTGGGGCAGGCACAGCCCTCACCTCGCAGGACAGGTACACCTGTGCTCCAGAGAAGTTGTGAACATTCCGTGGTGGACTGATGATCACAGGAGCTAGGAGAAGAAGACAGGGAACGTTGACCATTTTCTGCCAGGTTCCAAGTACGGCACTTCACTCTAAAATTGTCCTGATTGCGGAGAGCAGCTGGGACGGACATGGAACATGAGAGTGAGGTGTCATGCCCGGAAATGGCGAGAGGAGGGGCAGCAGATGAACTGTCTCCACATAAAGAACACACTCTTGGCCAAGGTTATCATAGGAGACAGTTTCCTCAAGACCTGAAAGGCTGCCTAAGGTTTCCAAACCCATCGCCTTTGTTTTACCAACAGGGAAATGGGCTCCCAGAGAGGGACAGCAACTGCCCTGAGTCCCCCAGCATGCCTGGCAGAGCAGGAGTCTCCTCACACTCCCTCTCAGGGCTCCTTCCATGACCTGGCTGCCATCTGCTTACAGACTCCACTCAGCACTGAGGCGGCAAACTCAGGCACAGCCTGGTGTCATTTCACCAATGGCAAAGTCTCCCGGCAGATGGGATTTTGCCGCCCACATGGAGCGGGTTTCAACAGCACAGTGCAGAACAGCTGGACCCACCCTGGGAGGGGATCCCTGAGGTCCATTCAGGATGCCCATTTGTACATCACAGATGCACTGACGCTACAGGAAAGCCCTCCCTGCATCTCCCCCACCTCCCTACTCCGAAGGGCAGACCTACAGACAGAAAGCAGTAAGGGGACAGCGGAGGCACAGCCAGGCTGACCTGGTGAATCAGGGAGGTGTGGTTCTTCAGTGCAGCACATTACAGAGGGAGAGGAAGGATGTGGACTCTCTGGACGGGGTGGGATGAGTAGACAACCAGAGTCCAGAATCTTTGCTGGTACTTCACGGACTCAGCTTCCCTCTCTGTGTCTGCCTCTGCTCTGCTCACACTGGGACCAACAGAACCCTGCCAAGCTGCCTCAGCCTGGCATTCAAGGCCCCACTATACATGCTTCTACTGCCCCACTACCTGGTGCCTTCTGTGCCCTACCCGTTTCCCAGTGGAACACTGACCCACTCTGCCACATCCAGGAACGAGTGGTCTGTGCCTCTGATCTGCTGAGCCCAGCCTTGCAGTCTAGGTACTGACTCTCCCTGCACCAGACTGCAAGCTGGGGCCACCCTGGCAGCCAGCTCCAATGGAGACAGTGTGACGGGAGGCCTGGCAAAGGTAGTGTTCCTGACTCAGTATTCCTCATCTGTGAAATGGGGACAATTCCCTCTGCTTCACAGGGCTGCTGTGCTGATTAATGGTACAAATGATTCCAGTTGACATGAGGTAGAAGCATGGTCAGGAGCGGGATCAGGCGGCTGGATGAAGTTGTTGTTGTTAAGTGCCATCCAGTTGGTTCTGACTCATAGTAATCCTCTACGGGATTCCCAAGGAATGATTGGTGGGTTTGAACCGCCAACCTTGTGGTTCACAGTCCAGTACTGATCCTCCAGTGCCATACCAGGAGTTGTTGTTAAGTGCCATCACGTCAGGTCCGACCCATAGCAACTGTGTATAGAGTTTCTGAGGAGTGGCTGGTGAGCTCAAACTGTTGACCTTGTGGTTCAAACTGACTTTGCAGTCCAGCGCATTAGCCCAAAGCACCACACTAGAAGTAGCACATGACAAATAAAACCACCACACTGCAGAATCTATAATCTGGGGGACTTTTCCTGATGCTTCAAGGACACTTATGCTGCTCTCCATAGGCCTGTCCTAGAGGATGAAAAGGACCGTCCCCACCTGCACTGGACTGCAATGAAAACAGACAGCAAAGAGCTAAGGCCCTAAGAAATGAGAATAGTCTGGCCCCTCTGGACAGGCTGGGAAACTGACCCTATTTCAAGCTGGTGCCAATAAAAATCTCTGGGAAGATGTATAGAGCCAGAGTCTCAAACTGGAGAGCCACTCTGGCATCCTACTCCCCAGGATCCTATGACTGACCCTCTGTCATGTGCTCATCCAGCCTCCACTTGAATACCTCCTGTGATGCAGAGCTCACGCCTTTCCATCCTTGGGGGGTCTCTTTTAGTGAGAGGGCTTATTTTTACATGGAGCTGAGCTCCATCTCCCTGTAATCCCCACCTGTTAAGCTGAGTGATGCCCTCTGGAGTGCACAGCCTCCTGGGTCCCATCAGCCCTCCATGAATCTGAAAACAGGCTGTGCCCCCAGCCCCAGGCTGTTCTCCTCTGCCCCCACTGATTGGACAGACTCCTTCCTTTGTGCCTGGCTGACTGTCTGCCAAAGGATCCTGCTGCTATTCACCCCCAAGTATAGCTAAAGCCCCCAGTGCACTCAGGTTTTAGATGCCTAGCATATCCCAAGTGCCCCAGCATCTGCCTGACTGCTACAGAATCATGAGACCACCCTCTCTCGCAGGAGCCCATCTGCAATGACAAAGACAGTCTAATTTATTCCTATCCTCCCAGCAGCATCTCATCAGCCATACAAACGCTGCGAGGCAGCCTCCACGAGAGCCCAAACTGGTCCTCGAATGGCTCACGTTGGGAACAATCAGAACCACATTCTCCACCAAAGCTCTGTCTGGATCCCAAAGGAGTACTCATCAACACATTTTACCTTCATTCGTGTAAAGTCATAAATGTTAAATGAGGTTTCATCAGTCCCTTTCAGGCCTAAAGGAATAAACCAGTAAATCACATTTCATTGTTCTCTCTCTGCCTGCCTTTCCGGCCCCCTCTCTTTCAATAACTACAATTAAGAAAAAGTGTCTAGGAAATGCTGCCTTTGTCATGGACTTCCTGGTAGAAAATATACCTCTTTTACAAAGAGACCCCTGCTTTCAATGTTAAAATGGCATTTTAAATTTTTTATTTTAAAATTTACATACAGTAAAATGGGCTCTTTGGTGTACAGTGCTACAAGTTTTGACAAATGTATAGTCACATAACTACCATCGTAACCACGTTCTGCCAGCTTAAAAAATTCTTTTGTGCTGCTCTGCCGTAATAACCTTTTAAAAATGTATTTTAATAATGTTTTTTTTAATTTAAAGCATTTTTGTCGATAGTAGCTCCTTACAATCAATAACTGTACCAGTAATACTACTGTATTACTGTAAAACAGCAACGATAACACTGGCTAGCCTTACTGAGGGTCCTGGTGTGGCGTGGTAGGATCAGCACTGGACTGCTAGCTGCAAGGCTAGTGGTTCAAACCCACCTGCTGCTCCTTGGAAACCTTACACGTGATCCCTGAGTCGGAACCACCTGGACAACACTTAACAACGACAGCCCTCCTGTGTGCTCAGCAGTCCTCTCTGGCTTACAGGTAGTAACCCTTCGATCCCCCCACAATCTCACCAGATGGAGAAGCTAGCCACTGTTGCCATTGTTAGGTGCTGTCAAGTCAGTTGCTGACTCAAATCAAGCTCACATGACACAGTAGAACTGCCCCGTAGGGTTTTCTAGACTGTACTCTTTGTGGGGGCACATCACTCAGACTTTCTCCCATGGAACCCATAGGTGGGTTCAAATCGTCAACCTTTCCTTTAATACCAGACACTTTGCCACTGTGCCTCCAGTGCGCCTTGGCTCACGGTTCACCAGCCGTCAATGGTGGGGCAAAGCTATGAACCTAGGGGGCTGGCTCCAGATCTGTGCTGTTAACCACTGCCCCACTCCACCGTGCTTTCTCCTTAGAGGACATTTCCATGGACATTCCTCCTTTAATACTGCAAAACAGAAGCCTTTAGGTCCATTTTACAGATGAGAATACCAAGGCTTTGAAAACTGAAGTGCCTGATGGAGTTGGGACACAAACCCTGGCCTCAATTCCATTAACTTCCACACAGACTTAAAGTGCTGCCTTTTGAAGTAAAATATTTGTTGTCTGCATGGACTCCATTCCAGAGTAAGAGATTAGCCCTTTAGGGATTAATCCTTAGGGATTAGGAAACAGTTCTTGAGAAGACCCACGTGATTGACGATGTGGCCCTGAGCTCATTTTCCCCAAGGGCACATGGAATGCTCAATGTCCTGACACCATAGGCAGGAGGGGCAGTGTGGCAGACTGGGTGGGGAATCCCGATTTCAAATCCAGTCTCCCCCACATCCTAGAGCTGTAGCTTGGGTCTCAATGTCTTCTTTAAATTGCACTTCCTGCACCCATGCTCCAGGCTGTGTTAGGAACCAATGGCCTCATTGGGGAGATCAATATTTTACAAACTGTAAAAGGCTTCCAGAGGGCCCTGGGGACCCAGCAAGTTATGTTCCTCAAGGGCAGGCTCCCAGAAGCAATTCACATGCTAGAGGATCCTCTGGTGGAAGGGGCCAGCAACTGTCCCTGCTTAGAGGCCCCCGAGGCCATTAGCACCACCCTGAGCAGCCCAACACACAGTCCTTACTGTTTTAGGGCCACCACACTACCTGTCACCAACAAGGGTGGGAGTCACCAGGTGGTGGAGTTAACTCATTCCGTGGCTAACCAAATGATTGGAGGCTTGAGCTCACCTGCTCAGGTGCCTGGTGCTTCACAGGGATCTTGGTGACTGATTTTACTTCTGAAGAATTAGTCACCAAGATCCCTGTGGAGCACAGCTCTACTCTGTCACACATGGGGTTGTCATGAGTCAATAATGACTGGACTGGACAGCAACTGGCTGGACAAGTCACACCATTCTCCTGACACATCAACTTCATCTCTCTAGATCTTTCTTTCCTTCTTCTTTTTTTCCTAGCTCCTTCTTGCTAAATACTTGCTTCCAACAGTCCAGGAAGTGACAAAACAACATGAATCCACCCATTCAGTGGTGCCCAGCAGGTAACACAGATGTATACTCTCCCAGGAGGCAACAGCATGGGGTGTGCAAAATAGGATCAAAGGGGGACTCCAATGCCTGGGGTCCAGTCACAAACCACAAGAGATTGGGCACGCTCAAATAAAGGCAATGACCTGACCACCGCCTCCCATCGTCCGGGATGAAGGATGAGAGCCTTGTAATTGCATAATTAACTGCACCGCTCTGTACAAACGAAGGGATCGATGGGATTATTACAGTGTGC